AAGACCTTCGAGAAAAGTTCAGTGTGCATTCTGAAAGGGAAAAGATCATTGCTGCCTGCAGAAATCAAGGAAGACTTTCCTTGAAAAAGGTAGCATTTGAGTTGGACTTTAAATGTTAAGTAGTGAAAAGGGGAGGGAGTAGGCATAGAAAATATCATCAGTTAATACACAAATTCACATTAACCTCAACTGGGCCTTCTCTGCATCAAGGCATGGTCCTTTTGTTCTTCTCTAATTGAATTCTCATCTCTCTCCCCATGAAAGCTATTCCCAACCTTCTTTTTCCTTCCATAACTCTCCTTACAACCTCTGTCTCTTAGCTAAAGATAATGCATTTTATTTGGAGAAAGTTGTATTCCATATGACCTTCATCTTCTTCCACTCTCAAAACCCTTTGACATCATCTCCTCCCTCCTCCTTCTCCCCAGTTTCCAACAGAGACTTGGCCTTCTATCTGCCACCTTTCCTTCCATGAGGGAGGGATGGCTGCTACCTCTCCTTTCATGGCTGCACCCCAGGTTGGACTATCCCTCCAACCTCCCTGACTTTCTCCTCCCCGCTTTTCCTCTGATACCTCTTCCTTATACCCTTATCCCCAGCTCTCCCTTGTCTTTGCCTTCCTCTGCTCTCTCTGCACTGTACTCTCTGGAACCCTCCTTCATTCTTTCTTCAGATTAAATTTTGGGTTTTGTTTTGTAATGATCAAAAATCCGTTTTTTCCTACTTCTCACCCCTACTGAAAAAAAAAAACCGAATCTCTAGGAATAAATATTCATAGAAAAAAAATAAATCCCTGCTTCGGTTAGGTTCAGAAACTATGCCTCATCCTGTACCTTGAGTCTTTCATCCTTCTGTCCAGAGCTGAGTAACATACTTCATTACCTATCCTCTGGAATCATGGTTGGTCATTGAATTAATCAGAGTTCTTAAGGGCTTTCAAAGTTGATTATTTTTTCAGGGTTGTTGCTACTGTATATGTTATTTTCTGGTTCTGCACACTTCACTCTGCATCAGTTCATGCACGTCTTCCCAGGTTTCATTGAAACAATCCCTTTCATGATTTCTTTTCGCACAGTGGTATTCTACCACATTCATATACCAGTCCCTAGTTGATGGACACTTAACCCCCTTCTTTGTTCCTTATTTATCAAATAATGGGATTTGATCTCTAGGATCCCTTTCAGGTGTGGATCCTGTGATCTTGTGACCTTGTGAATATGAAATTGCATCATTTGTAACTATGAACAAAAATTCAGATAACGGTTGTACAAATAGATCAGTGCCGTTAGACAACGATGCAGTTTGAATCTAAGATCAGAACTGAAACCACTATTTTTAAAAATGGACACAAAGGAAGTATCAAATGAACTATATATCCAGCCCTGATATGCTCTTTTCCTATGGGTTTAAACTCCCATTTTGAGATCCAAGGTGGACAGGCATGCTCCTGTTTTTGTCACAGTTTTTGACCTTTCATAAGTTGGCACAATACAAGACATAATGGATACCAGCACTAAGAAGTGATTGAACGGAGGAGGATGTGTCAAAAATTATATTAGGAAGCTGTGTGTGAGTGGGAATTTGGGGGGGCTCCCCTTTTTTATTCTCACAACTATTTCCATTCCACAAGCTGGCATGAGGTTGCTCCACAACCAATCATCTTGATAAAGCACCCTGAGCTGCCCGACATATCTGATGACATGCTTGGAAGGGATCTTTCACTTTCCAAAATAATAGGGAACACTGAGTAAATGATAGGCCAGAGGGTGAGCAGGAATAGAAACTTGGCTGACCTCTCATTCCTTTGAGACTACGGGGCTTTAATTTTTGTCCTAGGGGTTCACTCCACAGCCTGGCTGTCTGGGGCATAACTCACAACCTGGTTGTTGGAAGGCAGCCCACCCTCCAAATAGCAGCAGGCTTTTATACCCTCTGGAGCAATGCAGAAATCAGCACAGGCAGTGGGAGTGCAGGAAAAGGCATTGCTAAAGTGGGAGGGCACTGGATTGGAGCTCAAGGGACCTAGGCTCTGATTTCCACTCTACTATATGCTGCCTGAGGGAAGTGGACAAATCACTCAGCTTTTCTCAGCCTCAGTGTCCTCATCTTTAAAGTGAATGGGGTTGGACTGGATGACTTCAGAGGTCACTTCCAACCCTAAATCTTGATTTTCTGATCACAAACATGAAATAGAATTATGATTCTTGTTACAGCTGGCCCTGGATTAAGCAATATCCTCTGAGATTGATTTAATACAAACACTGGACTTCCAAACTCTCCATCCATCAACCCTATTTGATTGGTAACATCTGTTAGACTCAGAACGAGATGATGTATGCAGAATGCTTTCCAAATAGTAAAGCACTATATTACTGCCAGCTATAATTATTTTTATGGGGGCGGGGTAAATACGTTATTGATGTTATTACAATAATTGATACATAGCCCTTATCTCCCCCCAATTAAAGGTTAGTATTCCCAATTAGCATCAGATGTAGATCTAGTCCAAGTTACACCAAACCCACAAAGGAGCTATACCAACTTACTTATATGTTAAGTTAAGATTTACAAAGTGCTTTCCCTAAAATAATTCTCTGAGAAGGACCTAGAAGTACTAGTGTAGTGAGCCCTAGATTTGGAGGCACCAAACCTGGGTTCAGATCTTAAGCCTACCATTTACCATCTCTGAGACTATGGGCAAATTCTCTGGGTGTCAGTTTCTTCAACTATACAATGAAAAATTTGCACTAGATGGTTTCTTAGGGCCCTTTTAGCTCTAAAAGATATGGTAGAGGTAATACAAGTATAGCTTAAGGGTCTCACCTTCATGTATGCCCCACCCCTAGTAGGTACTCTGGGTCAAGGACGTATTTTGATTTATCAAATACACCAAGCAGTAACTCATGAGCTCCCAGTGTAATTTTTTTTTTTACCAAGCCAACTTGATATTACTGGATATCAAACAACTGGATTATCACACCAAAAGATATTAAAGAAAACACATTCCAAAATAAGTTTCAAAGGAAATTTCCCCATACACAGAGAAAGAAGGACATTCTCCATGGATTCCCACACACATTTTTATTAAAAAAAAAATAGGGCTGTGTCCCATCTGGAACCTGCCTCCATTACTACCACTGCTGCTTCCTCTAAAGGAAAACTCACACCATCCAACTGACTGGGTGATGCATTGAACTAGAGGTTTTTCACCTTTTTTAAGTCATGAACTCCTTTGACATTCTGGTGAAGCCTATGGACTCCTTCTCAAAGTAATGGTTTTTTTAAATGTATAAAATAAAATGCAAAGGATTACCAAGGAAACCAATTAAGTTGAAATAAAAATGTAATTTTCCCCCATACAAGTTCACAGAATCCCTGAAATCTATCACCAGGCTAAGAAGCACTGATAGAGGCTGCTGGGCCATTTTGATAGGTGGTTCTTTCCACTGTTCTGGATATCTGCAATCAGACTGTTCTCTCCTACCGTTTGCTAGTGCTCTGAGGTTGAACAAGCCTTCTGCAGCTTTCTTCGGTCACGTGGCCTTTTCTCGTTCTGTAAGGAAGGAGTTTCAGCTATTTTAGCATGTAGCCTCAGGTACTCTCTATTAGGATGTGTGTATGTGATTTAGATCCCAAAGCCATAGCCAACCAGCAAAAGTCTTTTGATTTAGGTTAAATAATTCTTTGGCAAACTACTTAGCTCCCCTCTTTTTTTGGGTACTTCCTGAATGAACAACACTATGGTGTCTTAGTTCCATCATCTGTAGCAATAGTCGTAAGAGAGAAAAGTAACAGAGTCAACCAATGATGGCTGACACTGAAGTGCCTGAGGTAACCATTCACTGTCTGAATTAGAAGATTCTCTTTTAAGGAAACTTCACCCTATGAAGTAGTTGACCTCTTGCTATCTCATTGTTGTTACTGACACTGTGACCATGTTTACTATGATAGAACAGTTTCCATGCTGGGTAGAACTTGGAGGAACTGTACCTTGGGCTGTTTCATCTAAAGCCAGGGGTGGACTGGAGTCAGCTAAAACCAGCTTGAACATGTGATCCTTTTTATACCCAGGAACTCTGCAAATGCTACAAATTAGGGCATGATTTATTATTTTGTTTGTAACAAGGTCATGGGGGAAAAAAGTCAATAATGCTTGAAGCTTGTCTTTGTACAATTTTTTTTTGGCAAGCCAGATGTTAAATATTTGCCAGCATACAACTGGCTAGAATGACAACAAAGGCTTGTTATATAAATGTTAGCTATGATCATGATGATAATGATAATTATGATGATGAGGATGGTGATTGATAATGATGATGATGATCCCCAGGTGTGTTTGCCGATACTTCTAAGCCTGATGAGTTTTCCCTGCAATACCCCTTAGGCCTTATATTCAGTCCTTCCCTTTCAGCAAATGATAGTTGGAAAGTTAGTTGCTCTTTGTACTAAACCACATTCCCTATTATTTTAGTCTTTTGGTCAGGCTGCCACTTCCCATTCTCTTTTGTCTTCACCCTACATTCACTGTTCTCCATTTGTACCCATGCTTTCCATTTCTTTAGCAAAGATGATTAAACATTGTTGCTAAGTTAAGATCTAGGATATAAATGAGTCTAATCTTTTCCTACTCTGGAGGCTAAACGTATTACCCAAATACAGACAGAAAGCAGGATGCACCTGCACTACAACCCACAGAACAGAATCCAGAAGTCCCGCAGCTAATTTGGCATTTCCTAATTGATTACCTTTTTTTTTTTTGCTACTTTCAGGTATGGTCGTACTCTACTTCTTCTCTGCCTATGTGCAACCAAAGTACACTATAGGAGAACATATTCTTTTTCTTCTTAACCCCAATTGCTGTTGGTTTGCCAGTACCATCGAGTTGGCCATTCCCTGAGAGAACCTGCTAGGGACATAACCTGGGACTGAGTGAGAAAGGGATTTAGCAAAAATAGGGGAGGAGAAATGTTCATACATATCTGTTGTTTCTGTGTTTGCAGAGTTCGTCTAGTAGAAAGAGGATCTCCCCACAGTTTGCCCCTCATGGAATCAGGAAAAGTAAGTATTAAAAGAAGATATTGTAACACATAGCAAGTTAGAGGGTGTGTACCTAAAAAGGTAGCATTACTGAATGCTGAATACCTTTGTAGGTTGAGACTCTGACCAATGAAATCTCATGTAATAATTACAGTGAGAATTAGAAGATCCACCATTAGTCCAGTCCTTTCAGGTTCATCTTGCCATATTGGCTGCAACAATACAAACTCCTATTTATCACTAGATACTGAACCATGAACATCTAATTTACTATGACAAGGCCAGGGTGATTTGCTCTGGCCTTGTCATCTCAGACCTCTGTCAAATGGGAACTTTTCCAGAAGTTCTGTATTCTGTACCAAAAGGTCTTCTCACCTGTCTCTGGTCTTTCATTTTGAATTATCAGAACCTTAGCAGAGTGCGTCCTGAGACTCTGCTTTCTTCCTCTCAGATGTCACATCATTTGAGCTTTTCTAATCAACGGCCTTATGCACCAACATATCTCGCTTGAATATATGCTTTTCCTAAGTTGGTTAGATAGCAGCTCTGCATTAGAAAAATCCCCTGATAGACCAAGTACACAACTTGGTGGAAAGGCAGAAGGAAAGAGAGAATGCGGCTATTTGGTGCAGTGGACAGAGCGCCAGACCTAGAGTTTAGAAGACCTGAGTTTAAATGCTATTTCAGACACTTCCAAGTTGTGTGTAACTCTAAGCAAGGCCCTGATTTCACAATTGAAAAGGGGGGACGACAACAGCTTTTACCTCACAGAGTTGTTGTAAAGCTCCATTGAGGCGATACATGTGAAGGCAAAAATACTAGCCATCCTTATTTGAATATTCAATAAATGTTAAGGCCTTGAGGTAGCAGATAGAATGCCAGACTTGGTTCTGCCACTTGTTTCCTGTGTGATCTTGAACAAGTCATTTAACCTCTGATGCTTACTTTCTTCATGTGTAAAATGGGGATAACTATACATATACCTATAGGATTGTTCTGAAAGAGATAACATATACGAAACGTGCTTGATGTTTTAACACTCCTATTAATATTATCATTAATATTATTATGTGCGTGGCACTGGGGTAAATGTTGAAGAGCATATAAGGAAGAAAAACAATCTACTTCAAGGAGCTTTCTAGAAGGAGAAATAATAGCTAACATATTTTAGGTACTCAAAGTGTTTTACATATCTCTCATTTGATCTTCACAATAATCCTACGAGATAGACATTATTGTTATTATTATTATTTTATAATTATGGAACCTGAGGCAGAAAGAAGTTAAGTGACTTGTGCAAAGTCACACAGCTAGTAAGCACCTGAGGCCATACTTGAACTCATGTCTTCCTGACTCCAAGTCCAAACTACTCCTTCTAAGGCAGAGGTTCTTAACCTTTTTTTTTGTATCATGGACCCCTTTGTGAAGCCTATGAATCCCTTCTCAAAATGATATTTTTAAATGCATGAAATAAATTATATAGCACTTATAAAAATATATTGAAATACAGTTATGAAAAATTTTTTTATAAAAACAAATTCATGGACCCTCTGTCCTAATGAGATAGGTACACAAATAACTGTAATATAAATTAAATCATGATAAATGTACAGAAAAGGTCATACAGAGTTAAACAAGTGATTTAAGGAAGGACAAAATGCTTCTGGCTGCAGGTGGTCAGCTTTAGAATATGTTAGGGTATAGCAAATACAAGTGCTTAACCTAATGGGAATCATGTCCCTATTTCATAGATATTCCTTCCACTTCAATCAATCAATCAACAAACATTCATTAAGCACCTACTGTGTGCCAGGTACTGTGCTAAGTACTAGGCATATAAAAGAGGCAAAAGACAGTCCCTGCCCTTGAGGAGTTCACCATCTACTGGGGGAGACGAGACAAAGAAATAAATACTGACAAGCTATATAGGATGAATAGGAAATAATCAACAGAGAGAAGGCACTAGAATTAGAAGGGGTTGGAAAAGCTTCCAGTAAAGATAGGATTTTTGTTGGGCCTTAAAAGGAAGCCAAGTGGGTCAGTAGACAGAGCAGAGGAGGGAGGGCATTCTATGCATGGAGGATAGCCAGAAAAAAAGCCCAGAGCTAAGAGGTGGAGAGGCTTGTTTGTAGAAGAGCCAGGAGGCTGGTGTCACTGGATGTAAGAGTACGTTTCAGGGAGTGGGGCATAAGAAAAAGGGACATGGGAGAGGGGACTAGGTTACGAAGGGCTCTGAATGCCAAACAGAGCATTTTGTATTTGATCTTGGAGGCAATAGGAAACCACTAGAGGTATTGAGTTGGGGGTTGGGGGGGGTACATGTGCTTTAGGAAAATCACTTTGGTGGCTGAACAGAGGATGGATTGGAGTGGCGAGAGACTCACCAGCAGCCTATTACAATAATCCAGGTGTGACAAAGGTGAAGTTGACAGACCTTGACAACAGATTGGATATGAGAATTGAGAGGGGTTGGGGGAATGACTTGTAGGTTTTGAGCCTGAGGGACTAGGAGGATGGCATTGCCCTCTATAGTAATAGAGAAGGGGGGAATATTAAGGAAGATATACCCTTTTGTTTCTGGAATATAAGTTCTATTTCAGATATGTTAAGTTTAAGATGGCTACTGGACATCTATTTGGAGATGCAAGGTTGGAGGTTAGCAGAAAGGTTGGGGCAGGATAGATAGATCTGAGAATCATCAGCATAGAGACAGTAATTAAGTCCATTAGGAGTGTAGAGAGCTGATGAAATCATCAAGAAAAGTCATGTAGAGGGAGAAGAGAAGAGGGCCCAGCACAGAATGCTGTGTGTGGTGTCCCTAAAAACTTTAGAGAACAGAGTATGCAAGAGGTCAATAGCATCACAGGCTGAAGAGAGGACAAGGAGAGTGAGGATTGAGAAAAGGCCTTTGGATTTGGCAAATAAGAGATCAGTGCTAACTTTGTAGAGGACAGTTACAGTGCATGCTAAGGTCAGATTCCTCTTCTGGTCATTAAAAAACAATTACCTCCTGAGCTACTAGCACATGTCTGGGGTACACTTCACCTTCAGACATTGGCCACCCCAATCCCTTTACTCTAACATGTATTGCAGAAGCAGCTTTCATCTACAAATCTCATCCCCTGAAACAAAGGATTACATTATAGTATGTATAGCTGAGGAAATCTGGGACTACTTAACACAGCTCAATTATTTTATAGATGAGGCAGCTGAGGTCCACACAGGTTAAGGGTACAAGTGTACACTTGCCCAAATATACTCAAGGATTAAGCAGAGGACTTGGGATAATGGGTTTTAGTCTGAAAAATGATCTTTAAGACCTGCAGTTACATAAAAGGAATGAGCAGGACGGTATAGTGAAAAGAATACAAAATGTGAAGTCTGAAGACAGTGTCCCAGATCTAATAATTATTAACTTTCATAACTACGAACATGTCATTTCCAGCCTTTGAATCTGTTTCCTCATCTGTTAGATGTTTATCCTGCCTGCTTCTCAGGGTTGAAGAAATTCTTTGCAGACTATAAATCTGCATAGAAACATGTACTATTATTCATTATCATTACAGATTTCTTGATTTTCAGTTTGAAAATTTATATAACAAGATCATGTGAAATGAGGGTTCCCTGTTTATTCATTCACTCTAATTGAAATATTTAAGAATATATCTTTAAGGTAATATATTTCTTATGCATCATGAGAAATGTATTACGTAGTTCTGGACTCAGGCTCATCAGCTTCCAAAAAGGAAGAAAACTAACCTCAGAAAGGACAGGTCTAAGAACATGCATATCTAGCATCAGTGTAAGAATAAGTGTGTTTTCCTGTTTGTGCATTTTACCTATTTGCATGTCTGCTGGCCTTCCTCTCCTCTCCTTCCCTTCTTTTCCACCTTCTTTCTTTCCTTCCCATCAATTGGATTTTGTTTCTTTCTCAATAGATCCTCCCTGGAGTCCGTATCATAATTGCAAATCCAGAAACAAAAGGACCCTTGGGAGACTCTCATCTTGGGGAGGTAAGTAATAGAATTTGTCTTTTGCAAGGCCTTCCGTCTAAGACCAATTTTTCTTCTTCAGACACACATACTCTATTCTCCTTGAAACCAGGGAGGACCTTTTCACACATGCATTTGATCTCTAATTGGAACCTCATGAACGAATGAGAGACTGAGCCAACAAATAGCCCCCAAAGGAAATGGAGCTTGGGAAACGCACTACAAAGTCTGATTTGATCAGATCGGGAATACTTGACGGAAGAGTCTGTTAAGCTACATATAAGTCTGAAACAGAGTTCCAGCTCTTCCTCAGAATAACAAAATGTCAGTTCCTTAAGGAAGTGTGTGAGATTCTTTGTGGGATTCCATCATGATTTAAACACACATTTGGCTGTAATAATGCACAGGAACTGGAGGGGTGGGTGTGAGAGAATCTCTTTATTCCTCATCTCTCTAGACACATTCCCCTCCTCCCTCTTGATTCTCATATGTCTCCTGCCCTCACTGGGAACTCCTCATATGCAAAAAAGATTTAGAAAGGTGACTGAAAATAATGATGCTGCAATTTAGAATTGAGACACGGTGTATCACTTAGGAAATGGTGGCCAGTGTGCTAACTAGAATGCAAATGATATAGTTTTTATTTCAGGTCATAAAATAAATGTCCTTCAAAATTTGCAGTTTATGTTAGGGGATAATATTTGGTATTTATAATTTATTTAGGGAAAGTAACCATGGAGGAGACAAATCGTGAACATCTTACTTTACCCATTTTTTTCCTTGTAATAACCCTTTAATTCATGATCAGATATTTCCTAAACTCCTTTTCCTTAAAGGGCTTTTATTGGCTCATTCCTTATTCATATGTGAAGATCTCTGCAGAGTTTATAAACCTGCACGTGTATTTGAATTCAAGTGAGAGGAAGGTCTTAAGAAAAATGCTTAGTTAAGTTTCAGTGCCTACCATGGGATACCATAGTTCATGACCACTGCTTGGAGTTTGGAGGTATAAGTGTTCAGTGCCAGGAGCCAAAAAATGTTGGCATGGTTTCTATTTTGAGAAGCAGCATGATGAAATTGAGAGAGCATTGAGCTTGGAGTCTGGAAGATGTGGGTTCCAATCCTGCTTTGGAAACTTGCTCACTGTAACCCTGGGCAAATTACTTCTTTCTAGGCCTCATTTTCTCATTTATAAAAAGAGGATGTTGAAATAGATGACCTCTCAGGTCCATTGCAGCTCTAAAACTATGATCCTACTATGATCTTCTTCCCCACTTACAAAGTAAACACATATTCTTGGTTGAAGAGGCAAGCCAGTTTATCACCTTGCTGCAGCTGGGATTAATTCTTGGGGTTCCTGGAGCCTACCTTGGGAGCAACTAGCTATTAATCAACCAGCATGTATTAAGCACCTACTTTGTGTCAGACACCAAGCTAGCTACATGCTGGAAGGATACCAAGACACAAACAGCCCCTTGCCTTAAGGAGGTAACACTCTATAGGGAGAAATAACATGTAAGCATATGCAAAAAAAAAAAAAATGGAAAAAGAGATCCCTTTGAAAGTGGCAGTGGGATAAACAGGAAATCACCCTAATAGACCCTCCAGCAGCAAGAGCCCAGGATTCCTCCTGACCCCTCTGTCTGATTTATTCAGTGTCTTGGGAAGTCTGGGGACACTTACCTAGTCCTGAGTCTTTCTCTTTCATGTACCACCATACTGAGAAGCCTCAGTACAGCATGTTAGAGTGGTAGGAGCAGGATGGTCTATTAGGCCATCCAGAATATTTGCACTCCTTGAGACCATCTATAACAAAGAAATCCACATCAAGAATTGGTTTCTGCTTGCAAAAATGATTCCATTATCAGCCACGAGTGGACACAGAAGTTAATTATGTAAGGGATCTGAATACAGTGAAAAATCCCACTTTGATAAAACAAAATTAGCAATCACACTAGGATACCTCTGAATATGCTTTTGTCCACTTATATTTTCTTAAACTCCTATAGGGAGGGACCTTTGGGGAAGAATTTAGCCAATAAGATGAGCAATACTTTTATTGCAGGAAGCTTTACATATTATAATATCCCCCAAAGCCTAGAATGAGATTAATGAATCAGCCTTTCTCAATCCAAGTAAATATTTAATTAGAATTTTTTTTAAATAGTGAACAGTTCTCATAAGATACCTGCCTAGGTCATTTGAATAAAGCTCTGGTCAATTTTATGTTTTGTTGTGTTTTGCTTAAACAGATCTGGGTTCACAGCGCTCACAATGCCAGTGGCTACTTTACTATTTATGGAGATGAATCCCTTCAGTCAGATCATTTTAATTCAAGATTAAGTTTTGGAGACACACAGACTATTTGGGCTCGAACAGGCTATTTGGGATTCCTGAGGAGAACTGAACTTACAGATGCCAATGGAGGTGAGCATTTTCATTATGAGTCCAGTTCAGACAGCTTCCTCAGAACAGAAAAGACACATTGCCCAGCAGCTGGCCCTTTTATTATTTCCCAAGTATATCAGACCTCTACTTTTCCAACCTTCCTTTGGACTCGATCCCAGCTCAAAAAAAAAAAAGAGCTGGTCCCACGCATCAATGAGTACCTGCCCATTTGCCCCTTTGGGTGGCCCACGATGAATAGACTGCAAAAGACCTTTGAGAGAGCGCAAAAAAAGTAACCAGATTTGCAAAACATGAAGAATTCCTGTAGAAGACAGCTGTGCCCTTTTAGGAGTTCACCGATGTTATGCAGTACAACACTGGGTGTAAACCTCAGCCTTGTTTGCAAGAAGGCACACTCCGTTTAAAACTAATGAGGGCACTTAAGCTATTTAACGAACTTAGAAGCATCTGCTTAAGGACTTGAATGTTTCCAAAACTCTGCATTAAAAAGGCTCCTGGTGGATGGCCTTCTTGCTAATTCTGGACCCATTTCCCAACCTCTCCCCCCAGATGCCTGCCTAAAATAGAAACTGGCCCTTACGTTCCCACAGGACAGTAACTGAGGTCCTGTTTGGCTCTGCTCCTTCCTCAGGGTAATTCAGCTTGTCATCTTCGCCCGGGGAAAATGTCCCATACCCAGCCCTGGCAGGACCATCTTCCTAAAATCTGACTGCTCTAGTATATAAGACGCTGTTCTCCAGCCACAGCTTAAGGGAGGGTGTCCTACTGCCCCCTAGTGGATGGAATCAGACTTACCAGAGTTTTTTCCCCAGTTTGTTTTTCTAGAAATGTGAAAAATGTGATTTTGAGAGAGGAAGAGACAGCTTTATAAGACAAATCGGCCAGATAGAAAGCCATTCTGGCTTGTAAATGAGCTGAAGCATATAGTTATCTACATGTCTCATTAACACCCAAACCACTCAAATTGTTGAGACAGTTGTGATACCTGGGTATTTTTTCATCTCTGTTAGGAAAAAGTGTTTAGTTTCGTTTCCTGACATTAAGACATTAACATGGCACTAAAAACTTAATGGGAGCTGAATAAACACACTTACAGAGTCCTTGATTCAACCAACAAATTACATTGGGAGTTCTGAAGATACATAAACTATTTGGGTTTCAACGAGTTATTTAGGATTCCTATAAAAAAAATCAAATTTACAAATAGAAACAGAGTTGAGAAACTGCACATTGACTCAAAGCTGAATGGCATTCCCAACATAGTTCCTTGATACTGGGTCACTAAGCCTATGTTTTAGGATCCCCTTTCCTTACCATGATGTCCAAAGAATACGAGGGCTGTACCATCCCTCCACAGGAATGTAGAAGGATATTAATAACCATGTATGTCTGAAGTCTTCTATTCTTATTATCCTATGTTAACCTAGGAAAGATTTGTTTTCCTAGAGGATGCTGGTGGCATGATGGATAGAGTCCTGGGTCTGGAGTTTGGAAGACTCTAGTTCAAATCCAGCCTCAGATACTTACTAGCTGTGTGACCCTGGTGCAAGTCACTTAATTTCTGTTTGCCTCAGTTTCCTCAACTATAAAATGGGGATCATAAAAGCACCTACCTCGCAAGGTTATTGCGAAGATCAAACGAGATAATATTTTTTAAAGTGGTTAGCCCAGTGCCTGGCATGCAGTAGACAACTGTATAAATGCATGTACTTCTCTTTCATTTTAGTTGTTAGTTGGTCATTTTTCAAAGGGAGGCTTTCACTTAACACTTACAAGATCAAGGATATATTTCCTCACTTTCAAAGAAGCACATAGGACATTGTTTTGTTATTCCTAAGTGAGCTGAGAATAAATCCCTCAATGTGAGCCCTCAAAGTACAGTGTCTCCCGAGTTAAATGGAATCTGGGCACAACATGGTAGATTACCAGACAGGAAATCAGGAGACCTGCTTCATTGTCCTGATCCTGTCATTAACCAGCCCTGTGACTTTGAAGTCACCTGCTCTTTTTTCAGCCTCCATTTCCTCATGTGAAAAAATGTTTGGTGTTAAGCCGAATAATTGCCAAGGTTCCTTGGACTCATCAGAAGAAGAAGAAGGAGGGGAAAAAAAAAACACACTAAGCACCCATCAGGGATTTGGTAGTGTGTAGCAACAGGTGCAGAAAGAAATGAATATGATCCTTCCTCTCTCAGCCCTGAAATCATAAGAGGAAATTTGACTTGAGTAAAGATCAGCATTCTTGGGGGGAGGGGGAAGAAGATGCTGAAAGTAGTGGTAGTACAAAGCCTGACAAATTCAAGGCATCTTCAATGAAAGGATTTCATAGCATAGAGCATCCGATTTGGAATCAGGGGACCTGCTTTCAAATCCGGATTCTGCCATTGATTAGCTGTGTGACCTTCAGCAGGTCACATCTCTCTGGCCCTCATCTTCTTCATATAAAATGGAAAGTTTAGGTGCCGTGACCTCGAACAGCCCTTTTAAATCTGTGGTTCTTTTATCATTCCTGTTGCTTTCCTGTGCCCTGTAAAAGCCCTCTCCTATTAGGAATCCCAACTGGTGGTTGTTTCCTTTTTATTAGAGAAAGCAACACTCCCAATCTAGTAAAGAATTAATTCAGATTTAGTTTTTAAACATTTTACCCAAATTAACTCTAAAGGGCATATGAAGAAAGACTCTACCTGCCTCTAAAGAAAGAACTGATAAATAGAAGTATGTGCGGAATAATTTTATATACACACACCTATTTGTGTCTAATAGGAGCTATTGGTAGAGTGGGGGGGGAGAAATTTACACGATAATGTATATTTGAAAGGAATAGCAAGTTATGCGCAGTAGATTTGCAGTTTCATGTACAATCATCTTTTTTTAATATGCTACATTATGGAAATGCTTGTTTTGTTCCTTAAAAAAAATTTTTTTAAACAATAGAAAAAAAAAGCAAATTGGACTGTGTAATCTTGATGACATACATCTGCTTCTTTTCTCCTCCTGGTTCATAAAACAGAGCGTCACGATGCCCTCTACGTTGTGGGTGCATTAGATGAAGCTATGGAGTTGCGGGGAATGAGGTATCATCCAATTGATATTGAGACATCAGTAATCAGAGCCCATAAGAGTGTCACAGAATGGTAAGTAGCAAAGTGTGGAGCTTGGAGCTTGCATTATTATGAACTATAATGAAAACATTTTTCCCCTCAAGATGGTAGAATGTTCTTACATGCCAGACTATTCATCCCAGTGGCAGAATTTCTTCTCTTCACAGAAAAGGGAGCCCCAGATTCCAGTCCCACCTCAGACTCACAAGCAGCATTTGACCCTAGGCAATTGAAACTCCCTGCATCTCAGTATCCTCAAATGTAAAATAGGGATGGCATTACCAACTTCATAGTATTGTTAGGATGAGCAAATGAGAAAATGCAAACCCTCTAGCTGCCATATAGATACCAGATACAGTTATTCCCAAGAAACAAGCTTCTGCTTATCTTCTCAGACAAAGCTATTAGAGTGGGGCTGGGTAGGGGATCAAGCAGTGACCTCAGTTTGGATCCATTAAAGGTCAGCACTATGGCACAAGCTCCAGAGGGACAGCATAGTGGAGAGCTGACCTTAGGAGTCAGGAAGGCCTCGGTTCCTGTCCAGCTTCACACACACACACACACACACACACACACACACACTGTGTGATCCTGGGTAAGTCACTTAATCCCTCAGTGTTCCCCCAGGTAGCTCTGTGAGGCTATAAATTGTAAAGAGGTAGGTGATCGGCCTTGTTGGATAAAAGAAAGTCCTCGCCAAATGGTTAGGATTTCCTCACCAAATTTCTTTGGTTTTCCCTGCACTAAAGAAAGCACAGGTCCATTAAAAAAAAAAAACAGTTAAGGAAAACCAACTAATAGTCTATGCCATTTTTCATTTTCATTGTTTACTTTGGACAGAAAGGATGGGTGCCTTAACTTTAATAATTTGGAGCTTGCACTATCCATTCTATTCAACCTAAAGCTGTTTGGTTTTTTTTTAAGTTCTCTTCATTTTCATTATGGTAAATGTTTTCTTGGTTCTAGTTTCTTCATTCAGTGTCAGTTCATTCAAGTCTTACCATGCATCTCTGAATCCTTCCTGTTCCTTATTCCTTACAACCCAGTAATACAGGGTGTCCCAAAAGACTTAGAGCAGTTTTAAGTTATTACAAGCTTTTGGAGCACCTTGAATCTCATGACATTCTCCTGCCACAATCTCAACCACTCCTCTTTTCACCCCTTTGCTATTACAAATATCACTGCTTATTAATATTTTGATACATCAGGGTCCTCTTTCATTGATAAACTGGGGTATTAATCCAATAGTGGGACCTTTGGATCAAAGGGCATTAGCCATTTAGTAACATTCCTTTGATAATTTCCAATTATTTTCTATAACTGTTGGACCAATTCATAGTTTTCCCCCTCCTTGATTTAGTGTCTTTGTTTTGCTGACACCCCATGGACACTGAAATTTTCTACCCTTTGCTATCTCTGCTACTTTGATGGATACAAGGTCATCCCTCAGAGTTGTTTTCATTGCCTTTTCTCTAATCATTAGTGATTATGAGCAGTTTTCCAAATGGCCGAAGCAAACATTGTAAAACACTGGTGGAAGTGAGCCTTAATAGAATGACTGGGGAAGTCTTGCTGGGCCTTCAATTATAAACCTTTATTTTTCTTGGGGTTAATAACTTAACAATAAAAAAGCATTCCCAGCTCAAAGTTAATATATCATGTTTTACCTGGAACTAATTTTATTTTTTATTACAGTAAAACTTCTTGGTAACGTCTTCCAGGAGGCCAAGTTTTGTTAGGTTTTGGAGGGAGGTTTTTGGCTTTAGAAAAACATGATACAGAGGATTTAAAAAAATATATATGAGCTGTCACCTGGGGTCTTTTAGGTTATGTGGGAAAATGTTGAATGTGGGGGAGGGGAGAACATGATGTCAAAGTTTTGCTGGAGGTAATTGCAAAGGAAGGGTTAGCTGAACGTGACCAAGGATCCCCTTATGCCCTGCAAAAAAACAAACAAAAAACCAAGTACCTATTTTGGATGCTCCCTGTTATTGTGTGTGCAGTAAAGCAGCTTAACAGGTTACAAGTCCATAATGGGGCCTTGGCCCAGTTAAGTGCTTTAAATATTTACCTTCCCCAGAGGCTGGGGCTTTGGTCTATCTCTAGTCCATTTAATCTGCTGTAAAGTGCCGTGTATGCTAGTGGCACTTCATAAATAGTAATAGCCATGGTGGATGACTGAGCAGCTGCTTTTTTAATATTTGCATCTGTACTCCATGCTCACCAATGTGATTAAGTAGTATACAGCAGGTTAAGAGCTAGGTCAGCCAAGTTTGGTGGATTTCCCCATGCAGCTAACTTTTCCAGCCCAGGGACATCATATTAGAGCCCGATGATTAAATGAGGGATTCAGTTTAATTAGGGATTTCTTCCTCCCCCTAGATCCTTTAGTATTAGCTCCAGGATCAAATGTAAAATACTCTGTTTGGCTTCCCAACCTGGCCTCTTCTTCCTGTTCCAGTCTTTCTCTATGGTACTTTCCTCTACATGTGTTACAACCCAGTGACACTGGCCTCCTTCCCCTTCCTCGAACAAGACACTCTAAATGTGTGTCCCCCTTGTTTGAAAGGTTCTCCCTGCTTCCTTCTTAATTTCCCTGGGTTCCTTCAGGTTTCAGTTAGAGTCTCTTTCTTTTTTTTTTTGGCAAGGCAATCGAGGTTAAATGACTTGCCTAGGGTCGCACAGCTCGTGAGTATCAAGTGTCTGAGGGAGTCCCACTTTTGCAAGACCAGGAAAGCCTACTCTCCCTTCACGATTGTGCCATCCCTCCAAAGTTCCCTTCCACCTCCCCTGCACATTTCCTGTATGTACCTGGCCCCTTAAGATCAAGGACCATATTTTTGCCTTTCTTTGTGTCCTCCGTGCTTAGCATCAGACCTGGCATGGAGTAAACTCTTAATAAATGCTTGTTGACTGACTGATTGGCAGGGAGCAGGGACCCCCAAGCCTCTCACCTGGGGCAGGGATTTAGTAAGTTTGGCCTCCAAAGCACAGGCACCTCCTTGTAGGGAGGTGTAGGGAAAAACAAACAAAACCACCCAATGGGAAAATTCTGGCATCCCTCCTTAAGTCATTTCTTATTCTTGAGGACATCGCACCAAGGAGTACTAACGGCTTCTTTTGAGCCCGTGGATTTACAGTGGGTGTCCTTGTGTTCATCACCATTCACAGTTCAGTCACCAAGTATGTGTTTGGCAGGTCACAGTAGCTGGAGTTTGCAGAGTAAACTGTGTAAGCCCACTCATCTCAAAAAGAAAACCCTGAAAGAAAATCCCCCTCATTGTCAAAGTATTCTTCTCCCTGCTAGACTCAGGTTCTCTCTTGTTTTAAAAAACCCATTAGATGTCAGTCTAGTCACTAATTTCCTTTTTTTGTGTTTCTAAGAAAATATTTTCAACTTGAATATATTATCTTCCTCCATGTGTTTCTATCCAGTTTTTACAACAGCACCTAATTCCTCCATGAGCTCTGCCTGTCTGGTATAGGGCATCCGTACGGTCAAGTTATTGAATTCTATGCCATGATTTCCAAGGTTAAGTGTAGAAATAACTGATTGTTGCTGACCTACAGAGATTCATCTTTGGGAGAGTGTAGATACATACCTCGAACATAAGGTTCTAGAAGATTCATCCTGATCTCTTTTCAGAATAAATCTGAGGCCTTGAGGGGCAGAGTAGGAGAAGAGGCTTTCTTCTCTCCACCTCCACCCTCAGCCAATAACTGGGAAAACCCCAGCAAACTGAACCCTAACCCCTTCTTGCCCTCTTCTAACTAGGCCTTTGACTCTGAGGTCAAAATTCGCACACACTTCAGGACATCACTTGGTGATATGTTGGTCCTTTTTAAAAATGAAGGATCAACAACCTTTTCAGCTGATGACTGGAGTTGAGAAATCTAGACTATCCCTGACACACCCAGCTCACCTCTGAGCATGCACTTTCAACGTATTATCAGTCAGTCAATAATACTATTTATTAATATTAATTATGTTATTAATTAATAATTATTAATATAAATAATGAATATTAAACACTTACTGGGAGTTATTCCTAATGCTAAGTGTTGGAGAAACACTTGATCCCTGTCATCAAGGAGCTTACATTCTAGTGGGGGAGACAATATTCAAATTACTATGTACATACAAGAGATACACAGTGTAAATGGGAGGTTATTATACTGGCAAGGGGCTGGGTGAGGAAGACAGGGAGGCCTCAGACTTTCATAAAACAATCCAGAGAATGATTCCAGCCAATCAAATCCCTTTTTCATCATCAGCCAGATATTTTTTTAATTTGTATAATTTTGTCAGTTTCCTTTTTTCCTTTGTAAAGATACAGCCAAGAAGCAGAGAGCTTGTAATTTGATTTTCTCAAGCTATACTTTGCAGGTGATCTCATTTGGGAAGGAAACATAGGGATAAGTCATCTTTTTTTATTTTGGACTCAGGTGGCCCAGATCCAAGTGAATTCAGGTTTTGTAGGAGTCCTCTGGACTGCTCCACCATTTTGGACATTTACCACTGTCATGGCAGTTGGAAAGGTTCTCAGGTTTTTGTCTGAGCAGGAACCCCCTCTGGCTTCATGAAAAGCCCAGGTATGGGGCAGCTAGGTGGCATAGTGAATAGAGAACTGGCCCTCGAGTCAGGAGCACTTGCATTCAAATCTGGCCCCAGACACTTGACACTTACTAGCTGTGTGACCCTGGGCAAGTCACTTAACTCTGAATGCCTCACCAAAAAAAAAAGCCCAGGTATAAATGAATACCTGGTCTGCTTTAAGATTGTCAGTCAGTAAACAGATTATGAAAAATGTGTTTTATTTCTCTCCCATCCTCCCACTCCTTTGAAAATGAGACCTTTAAGGTCAACATACCATCCCTACCCCTCCAGCTGCTAGTGCTTTTCGCCACCTAAGTTGCCTTGTATATGTTTTGTCTTGCACACATGCACGTGCACACACACACTCACGCACACATATTGCCCTACCATTTAGAATGCAGCTTCCTGGGAGAGGGACTGTTGGCTTTTGTCTTTG